TGCTTAATTAATAATAATAATAATATTATTCATTAAAGATTTATTTGGATTACAAAGCGTTTACAAGCTCAAAATCATATTGTTTGGTTCCGCCATTAGTCATATCTTTACAGTAAAATGTGTAAATGTAAAATATTCCTTTTCAAAAAGAAAAAACATATCGCTTTTAATTGTCTGTTTTTAGTAACGATAACTTTAGAAGCATAATAGAAAAAGAAAGTTAATCAGACAACAATAAACTAATGAGAACATAATCAAATAAGGTTTTAGATAGGACCCCTCACCATGACTTTAAGCTTAAGTTTAGTACTGATCATGATACCGATAATCAACTGAATAAAACCTACAACCACCATTTATGAAAGATTTATTTTTTTCTGGATGTATGTTACACATGTCAGACAAATCCTGGTAAATTTGGTGGCGAAGGTTTTTTACTTTTTGTTTATTTAATTTAATTTCAAATCATATATAAGTTGTAAGCAAATATTTTGGTGATATTAATTTTTAGCTTATCAAGTCTCATGTCATTTTCAGAAAGACGATAAAAATCATAAATAAAATAAAAAGAACATTTTACAAATAAATTACATTATTTTTTAATACTTTTTTCATTTGTTCATTATTTATAACATTTTCTTGCAAGTTCTTACAATTCTTACATAATAAACTCATTTCTAATATATCTCCTTTTCAATAAAAATATTTTGAAATCACGTATTTTTGATTTATTAATTTATTCTGTTTTATAATACTTAACGTATGTTAAAGAACTCTTAGCTTGCACATTAGTTCCCTAATATTTTAAAAGCAGCGTCTCTATCCTCTTCTAACTCTCTTCTACTTGCATCCATCATTTTCTTTATTTCATCCTTAACAGTAAGTCCTTGCACAATAAACCACTTCCCATCTTTAATTTCCACAGGGAAGGAGAATATCAAATCTTTTGGCACACAATATGATCCATCACTCATGACGCCCATCGACACAAACTTTCCACTCTCAGTCCCCTTGAACCAGTTATTCATTTGATCAGCAGCAGCTTTAGCTGTCGACATTGCAGCCGATTCCCCTTTAGCTTCCAAAAGTATATTTGTTCTTTGTTGGATCGTTGGAACAAATTCATTTGTAATCCACGTTTGGTCTTTTATAACATCTTCAACTGGTAGTGAGTTAATTTTAGCTTGGGTTACGTCTGGAACCTGTGTGGACGAATGATTTCCCCAAATGATGACGTTATTAATTTGACTAACAGGCACATTTGCTTTACATGCTATTTGTACTGAGGCCCTGTTCTGGTCCAGCCTGTTTAAAGAAGAGAAATTTTCTTTTGGGATAGAAGGAGCAAATTTTGAACAAATTAGGGCATTGGTATTAACAGGATCTCCCACAACGAGAACTTTCACATCCTTCTTTGCGTTTTTATCTAATGCTTCTCCTTGAGCTTTAAATATGGGTGCATTTTCTGGTAGAAGATCTCTTACATCCATCCCTGGGCTCTGACTCTTAGCACCAACGAGGAAAGCTGCAGTTACATCCTTGCAAGCATCTTCAAGTTCGTCGGTACAAAACACACATTGGACTAATGGGTAGGCACAATCAAGAAACTCCATTACTAAACTTTGAAGTTGTTGTTTCTTGTCGGGTATATCAAAAAGGTGGATCATTAAAGTTTGTTCAGGACCAAATACATCCCCTTTTGCTATCATGGGCAGCAGATTGTTGGATATGCGTCCAGTAGCTCCTGTTAGTAATACTCTTATAGGTTCTGGAGGAGGTGGCTCTGACTAAATGTAAATTTGGGGCTTTTACAATTGCATAGTTCGAAATTTATTAAAACATTACGTACTTATATGAAATAGAAGAAAACATATGAAGTTAAATTTCGTCTTACCGATGTTCCGGAACACTTTTGTTCTTCGGTATGTTTATTAGGTTGTGTGGGCTGTCCGATAAGTTCTTTGGGTTGTATGGGTTTTCCATTGAATTCTCTAGGTTGTATGGGTTTTCCGACGAGATCTTTCAGTTGTACGGGCTTCTTGAGGGGTTCTTTAGGTTGTGTAGACTTTTTGATGGGTTCTCCTTGTTCTTTGGGTTCCAAAGTGATCGGTACATTTTGAGAATTATTTGGTGAAGAGTCATTCTCACACAGTGCACGTCTTTGGTTAACAGATAATCGAACCAAACGATCGATTTCCATTTTATAATTCTGTTCTACGTAAAATAATCAAATGTTAAACGTTAATGACTTCTCGATATCTTATAAAAAAAAAATAAAAATTTTCGCATAGGTGTATCTTGAGAAACTTTTTAACTAACCACATGTTTCCAATTCCTGTATTCTTTTACACATTTGACATTTCTCATCAAGTGCAGTTTCTAATGCACTCTGCAATTGTGATTTTGTATCCTGAAAACACTTCAGTTTAATTAATAGCTGTTCTTTTTCACACCGTAAATCAGCTGCTTCCAATTTAAGATATTCACTTTGCAATGCAATTTCATGTGCTCTTGCTTGCAATCTGGATGAAAGAGAGAGAAAATGAGCTTTTAGGTACTATTTCCGGTTACCATTTCTTGTCAACTGAATAAAATATTAACTTTTAATAATTAGCCAATGTGGACTAGCTCTTGAATTAGTAAAAATATTTTAGAGGCATACATTAAAAACCAGCAAATTTCATGAATTACGTGATACATATATTAATACTATTGTACTACTGCTGTTAATTCCCAATGGTACCTGTTAATTTTTTCAACACTATTCCTTATCGCATTATTGCATTCTGCTTTAACCAAAAGGGCCATTTCATTAATATCGGCCAACTCTCTTTCAAGTTGTTTGTTTTTCTTTGCTAAGCAAATCGCTTTCTTCTTAGCTGCATGTTGTTGACATATTGTTTCTAAAGTAAATGTTTTTGTAATTTTTTAGCCAAAATCATTAGGCACTATTATGATATATGTACCACAAGATAAGTAAAATAGTTAAAACGTTAACAAACAAATAAGTTAATAAAAGAAAGTAATAAAAGTTCTTTCCACTTTCAGAGCTTATCATTAATAAATCTGTTTGGGACTTAAATGAAATGATAAATAGCGTCTACTTTAAAAATATTTCTACATGGTGCGGTCACTTTCAATTTAAAGTTACATATTTGTTTGTTATTCCTTATGGGGTAGTAAGCTAAGAGCATCATATGTATTATACGATTTAATAAGAAAGAAAAATGCCTTTTATTCAAAATTTCACATACCTACCTTTTAAAAGTTGTTCTATATCTAATTTTTCTTTTTTTAATCTGAAATATTTTTCTTCCAATTTATCCAAACATTTATCTACTTCGTTTATTCTACATACAAGCTAAAAACTTTCATCTCAATGAATCCTCACATTTTATCACAATAAATTAAATAATTATTTGATATAAATAATATACCTGACGTTTCGTAAGGCATTCGGCCATTTCTTTAAAATGAGACACTTACAGTTTTCTTACAAACATATTTTAAAATCGTAAGTATAGATTGACCGACCTCCAGAAAGACTGCCCCCCATCCTTTCCCATTTTTACTACTTAAATAAAATTTCCGAGTTTATTAATATTGTCAACAATTTTGGTTAACATTTCNAAAAAAAGGCTACTGAGATTTTAAAAATTCAATCTATTTTATAAGTAACATAAAATAAAGCTTTTATAAAATCCAAATGTTAGAGAATTTATTTTATTTAATCATGAAAATCCATTTACATTTGTATTGAAATCCACTACAGGTAATATAATTGTAAAATTTGTTGAGAAATCATTTGAATTATTCCAAATATTTTCAGACAGCAAAATATTTGTGTTTATTATTCTTTAGGTAAGGAGATGTATTTTGCCGCTTCCTCTTTGTGTTTCATTAATTCGTCAGCCGACTCATTCATCAACTGCTTGTGGCAATCGCTAACAGTTAATTGTTGTGTCACACAATATTTTCCACCACGAGTGACAACAGGATATGAAAAAATTATATTAGGTGGGGCTCCATAACGTCCCTTTTTTCCACTACTCACACCCATAGAGACGAACCTTCCAGGTTCAGTTCCCTTAAATAAATAACGAATGTGATCGGCGACGGCTTTAGCCAATGGAAAAACTGAATTCATTTGTCTATATTTAACCACTTTCTGTTCCCTGTTACAAACACTTGTGATAAAGTCGTTTTCAAGCCATTCTTTTGATACTCTTTCGGCTACAGGAATGTTTTCTTGTGAATTTTTTGGACTTATAACTGCATTGCTAGCATCGGGGACAATGTTGGGCCCTTGATTACCCCAGACGATTACATTGAACACCTCGTTAGGGCGGACTCCAACTTTCCTAGCAATTTGGGCTTGCGCTCTTAAATGGTCGAGCATGGTAACTGCAGTGAAATTCTCTTTGGGGATGGTTTGAGCAAAAGCAGAACAAATGATGGTACTAATGTTAACAGGCCTACAATAAACAATAACTTTCACATTTTTGTCTGCATAATCCCGTAGAGATTCGCCATCTTCCTTTAAAATGGGGGCATTGGCCTGTATTAAATTAGCTAGATCATCGGTACCATCGTTGGGTGCTTCCCCTATTATGGCTATAGTAACTTCTTTGAAAGCTTCTGTTCTATTAGTTGTTACAATTAGATCGACGAGTTGTGGATAAACGCAATCTATCAGCTCCATTTGAAGTCCTTTCAAAGCCTTTTCTGAGCTATCAAACAGATGCAATACAATTGGTTGATCTTCACCGAAAGTTTCTCCGCTACATAATAGAGGAGCAAGAGAATAGCCAACGCTACTTGCAGCTTGTGTTAGCAGAATTTTTAATGGTTTCTATAATCAAAATAAAAGAAATTATATAACAGTAGTCATATTGTACTTATAGTAAAATATTTGGAACATCTTTCTGGTTTGAAAACAATATGGCGCTCAAACAACGGATTGATTCGAAGCCTAGATGTTGTCCTTTTTTGGATGTAAACTGCACAACAAGAACTTTTTATATTGCCTTCTCAAGATAGACATTATGCTACATAGTAATGTACTTTTCCAATTTTTAAAATATGCCAACATGCTAGAATTAATTAACTGTTAATATAATTTTAACTGTTGATGGTGTAACTATTGTGAAACTGCATGTGTGAATCAAAAAGCAAAAAAAAAACGTTGGTAGTGTGATCTGTTCTCGTTATTTGTTTAAAATTTCAGTATTTATCTTCACTTATAATCAGGTCTTGTACCAAAAGGGATTTTTGTATCTTCTTCTTACGACGTGGTTGTTTGACGTAATACTACATTACTAACTTTTTAAAATTTAACTGATTTCTAAATTAAATGCGTTTTAGTTGATATAAATAGTGCGCGAACAAGAGAAGTAATCGGAGATTTAAATTTGCAAGTGAAATAATAAAAAACTGTTAGATAAATAATTGCATATAGTGCGATTTTATCTTAAATAAATTACATATACATACAAGATCTGTTTAAATAAATAAAAATGCTATAAACAAGATATTAAACAGCAACATTATTTATTGATAGTTTAAAATGATTACAATTAAACGAAACGGTGGTCAAAAATAATACAGATATAGTAAAGCATACAAAAGTAAATGCGAATAATGTAACAAAATAGATCTGTTAAACCAAAAGCTTTAAAGAAGTTAAATCAGAAGCGCACCTTCTACATTGCTGTTACATAGGTACTAAAAGCAATGCACTAATATACAGCCAGAAAAACCAGGCTCATTTTACAGCTGAATAATTGTGAAGAATTTCAGTTAATTGAAGGTATTTTACAAAAAGTGTACAAAAGAAAATTTGTATTGGATGCTGTCAATTTTTATGTAAGATGACTGAATTAATTCAAAAACTGAAATTCTGATCCAACTTAACTTGTTTAAAGCTTCGTTAGGAGTCACGAGTTGATAACAGAAAATGCTTCAGCTTTTTCTTCTTCTAATTCTTTTCCAGTAGCAGTCAATAACTGTTGATAAAAATCGTTAATAGGGAGTCCCTGTACAATTGACCATTTTCCATTTTTAATTTCCACAGGGAATGAGAATACAACATCCTTGGGTGCTCCATAACTTCCATCGCTGACAACGCCCATCGATACATATTTTCCTGGTTCAGTTCCTCTGAACCAGTCCCTCATGTGATCTGCTGCAGCTTTTGCAGCAGACATCGCTGAAGACATTTTTCTTGCTGCAATTACTGCAGCTCCCCTTTTTTGAACTGTTGCAATAAATTCAGCAAGCAACCATGCCTCATTCTTTACTGCATCAGCTGCCGAAATAGCTGTATTTGGTCCTGTGATAACTTTAGCATGAGAAGCATCAGGAACTTGAGTCGAAGAGTGATTTCCCCAAATGAAAACATTGTAAACCTGATTAACTGGTACACCAGCTTTGGCAGCAATTTGAGCTTGTGCCCTATTTTGGTCTAATCTGGTCATAGCAGTGAAATTTTCTCTCGGAATTGAAGGGGCATATTTTGAGCAAACAAGAGCATTCGTATTTGCAGGATTTCCAACCACCAATACTTTGACATCCTTCTTAGCATATTCATTCAGTGCTTCCCCTTGGACTTTAAAAATTTTAACATTAGCAGACAATAAATCTTTTCTTTCCATTCCTTGTTTGCGGGGCATTGCTCCTACAAGGAAGGCTGCAGAAACATCTTTGAATGCCTCTGCTGGATCAGCAGTTGGTACTACACCACGTAATAAGGGAAGTGCACAATCAGCAAGTTCCATTACAACACCTTGTAGGACCTCCATCATGGGGGGTATATCCAATAAATGCAAAATAACAGCTTGATCAGGACCAAACACATCTCCTTTAGCTATCATATAAAGAAGAGAATAAGCAATTTGACCAGCTGCACCAGTTACCACAACTCGTATTGGTTCAGACTAAAACAAATTAATGTGATTACATAACTACATTATGAATTCCTAATGACGAGTTTAAAAATCGTATTATTCATTTTAATTACTTAAAAACAGGTATATTACATTATAAAATCTTTATGTAGATTTCTCTACACACTCACAATACTTAAATACAGACACTTTTGCAATATAGGTACTTACCATTTTGTATTTTTGAACAAATTTTGTAAATGTGCTACAGTATTTCCAAACGAAAATCACAAATAATTTGACCTTATCTTATGACCGGATAATCTTTTGCCCTAGTAACACTAACGTCAAGTTAAATAGTCTACAAAATATTTATAAAACAGGGAAAACCTGTACGGTTGTATAACTTTATAATTATTTATGTTGGTATCCTTGTGTGCATACTTAGAGGTACTACAAAACTTGAGCAATAAATAACATTAAGTAATTATATAATAGTACATATACCAGTGTAAAATAAAAATAAAACTGACAAAAATAATTTAATAAATAATTTAAAATTGTTTGATGCGCACAGACTAGCTTATTATGTATTAATTTTCAATAGTATATCTAAATATTAAAGAAGATGGCGGTGATGGGCCACGCCAGCAAATTAATTGCATTTTGCGTTAGATTTATTTTAAATCATAGATAATAGATATACAAAGGGATTTTAAATACACCTAATGTAATCTTGTAACAACGACCAATATATGAATACATTAGCTATACATTCGGGGTTACCCCGGTTTATTTTGTTTGGCGTGGTGATTCCTATCTTGCGGTTTACCCACCATGGCCATTACGTAAAAAGCAAAAAAATTGTTGATTGTTCCTTGTAACTCGAGGTAGCAACAAATGTCAAAATAGTGACGTACGTTCAAAAACAAATTAAATATTTGTAGATTATCTGTTTTTAAAGATAGAGATAAATTATAAATAAAAATTGTTGTTTAATAGCTATATTAAATGCGTTTCCATATACGTATAAACCCAATATAATTTATTTATTTATTAACTTAAATGTAAAATACGTTATATGGGAAACGAATTAATTAATTAGTAATTATTCTAAGCAGAATATATAACATCTCTAACATAATCTTTTTTTCATGTACAAATAATCATTATAAAATATTTTCAAAAGGGCAAAAAATGTACCCGTTTTAAATTTTTGTTGGAAAAATTGATTATGCGTGTAGAAGTTTTTAATGAAATTGATATAAAAAATGTAAAACCTTTCTTTATACTCACTTGCTTGGTATATA